CCTGCAGGAAATGGGACTAGTTTGTAGCTAACTATTAAATAACTAGCAGTCGACTAGTGGTAACTATTTATTAACTATTTCCTTTGGCCGTAACTAACTACTTTTGACGGGCGATGGGCGCAAAATAGTGAGAACTGGTTTCCTCTGCATTAGATGTCAACTAACTTGTCGCTAAATGCTTTCGGACGTAAACTATCAATTAAAAAATCCAATTTTTTATATTTTTATTTATTTACTTATCTTATTTAACATTACATATTTGCTTATTTGTTTACATATTCCCTTGTAGGTGGTTTCATATTTGATTTTTGAATTAGTAAGCAAAAAAGCTAACTAGAAGTTGGTTACTTTAATCAATTGAATACCCATCAATGTTGCTTGATCTACTACTTAACCGTTTAGCACTTGAAGCTAAAAGCCGGTTATTGTCCGCACCCTGGTTAGACAGACTTAGAGCAATTTAAACAATATTACAGTGGACTCTCTGCCCATGTGCACATTCGTATTCGCAAAACATTCGTATCAGTTGATGCGAATGGGAATGTGTAAAATGATTCGAATCATTCGCATAACGAATGCGAATGCAAATATTCGCAACATCCCTGGTATGTACATATCTGTATTCGTATGGAATAGTAGCTTATGTCGAAAGGCTGGCGGTATAATGCGGCATTCGTAGCATACGATTGCTAATGACTCACTGGCGCCGAGCCGTTGAAAAACTTTTGGCAAATAAATGTCCAAGAAATAGTTCCGATACTAGCAAGACAATATNCATAACGAATGCGTATGCAAATATTCGCAACATCCCTAGTATGTACATATCTGTATTCGTACGGAATTGTAGCTTATGTCGAAAGGCTGGCGGTATAATGCGGCATTCGTAGCATACGATTGCTAATGACTCACTGGCGCCGAGCCGTTGAAAAACTTTTGGCAAATAAATGTGCAAGAAATAGTTCCGATACTAGCAAGACAATATACTTATTAAGTCGCATCAAAAAATTCCTTGTCGTTTAAATAATAGGGGAATACCGCTGTTTCGGCCACTAGCCTAAACCAAACTTTGAAAGGGTGAACCACCCTAATGTTCATGTGCATACACACCGATATGTACATACATACGAATATGAACATATAAATAATTGCATTATTTTTTGCCCGCCAATTAGTATAACGAAATAGCCAAATTCCCCTCAAAACACCTCTCTGTTTGAGGGTTCGGCTCAATCCGTCAACAAACAGCGTGGTCATTCCATTTTGATCACCATCGAGCGAGCACGGACGCCTATCAGCCACCACCCTTCAGCACACCGTAAAGGTAATACTGTTACATATACATTCACATTAAAACCAAAGAACTTTTGAATAAACATTTAGCAAGTACCTTTTAATTTAAACCGTGTGTTTTTTTTCTTGCGATCTTTAATTAAAATATTGATGCCCTGCTGGAGCTGCGAG